AAATGCATATATTTATCTCCTTAGGGCCTCCTCCACATGGATATACTAGAAATAATGACACTTACAATGGAGGACAGGCATTTTATCATCGAAGACCAGCAGATTTTCAGGTARTGTTGACTACGTAAACTGTGAGTGTGAAGGCTACAGACAATTAAATTAATCAATTTGTATTTGTTTACATACAATGCTTTATTCTATTGACCTGTAAATAGAAATGAGACCTACATGTAATTGAGACAAGGCAGTAGATTATAAATTTTATAATATAATAAAAGGCAAAGAAATTACAAATTATACAAATATTGTAGAAAAAAATATAATATAGAAGAAAATATGGAAATGAAATATATTTACTCCAATAGAGTAGTTTTCATTAAACCATGCAATATAGTGTAATATTCAACTGGAAATAATGTGTGATACATCAAAAAGATGAAGAAAATCACACAAAATAAATAATAATGTATATATATAAGCTTCTATAGCGCTTCTATAGCTTTCTCTAAGCACTTTAAATAMAAGGGAAAAATTAAAATAAAAAGTTAAAGTAGAGATTGACAAAGAAATAAATAGATAAAGAGTACCAAGAAAGTGTACTCAATGTGTTTCTTGTTAATGAAAGCAGTATATAAAATAATTATTATTCTAAAATTATTATTATTATTATTATTATTATTATTATTAAAATTAAAATTTATTAAAAAAATTATTTATTAAAAAACTATTAAATTAATAAATTTGATAAATTTATTAAATCTATTTATTAAAAAAATTATTAATTAAAATTTATTAAAATTATTATTATTATAAAATTATTATTATTAATTATTATTATAAAGTAATTATTATTTATTGTTTGCATCCTTTTCAATCAGAATAACAGAGCCAATATGCAGCAATATCCTCCTCAACAATATGGTAATAATTATTATCCAGGACAAGCAGGCCGACCACCACCACAACATGGCTATACTGGACAGGATCAGCATGACAGGTAGTTATTCTCTGACTCCATCAACAAAGAGAACCAGTTGTAATTTTTATTACAGCAAAAATTATTGTATCAGGACATAGGAAGTTCTTTTGCTGGATTCTAGATGTTTCTGCAAATTAGTCTTAAAAAAGCTTGTGCACTCTATTTCAGCCATATTTACAAATGCAGATTAAATGGATTGATTGATTGAAACTTTGCCTAAACTTTCTCAAAACCATATCTAAAAAGGTTGAATCCTAAATGAACTTGATGGGTTTTTTTTCTGTAATTGTGTCAAAATTTTGTAACTTCCATGCAGGACATCAAAATGGCAGACAATTGATTTCTTCAGTCTTTCTCAAGACATCTTACATCACATTGATCATACATTGTACCATGATACCTCTATTACTAACATCCTGGTTCAACCCATTCATTCTTACATCAACACTTTTGTCTTTGCAATAGACCTACTTATCAAAGATCAGGCCAAAACTCTAAACAAGGAGCAAGACAAGACAGAAGGCAAGATCAAGATAGAGACAATAAAAAACCTGTTGTTAGACCATCTGTTCTTCGACCAGAAGACATTCAAGCCATGGACGATGAAGATGATGATGGCGGTTGGGCTGGTGCTCATGGAGAAGTAGATTACACAGCAAAATTGAACTTTGAAGATTTTGAAGAGGAAGATAAGGATTGGGCGAAGGAAAATATTGAAAGACCAAGCAAGGAACAAAACAAGGACGAGGAACAGCAATCACAAGACTCGGAAAGAGAACCAGTAGAACCAAGAGAACCTGTTATTTTAAGAAGACCTCCACAAGTAAGTATTGCTAACCAGCATGAAGTGCATGTTTTTTTATAAATTTGTAAAGGAAATTCAAAATAAGTCATCTCTTGGTCTTGCTACTTTTCAAGATATGTTTTACTTGTCGCTGCATTTCAACCATCACTTGAACTGAGAAAGAATGACAACATTTTAAATTAACTAGCCTGATATGCATGTAGTAAATCTAATTTGGTATACAATGGAGCAGATGTTGTGATGTGGGGTTTTAGATACATATCCATGTAGTAACGTTTTAGATTCCAGAATGTGCTGAAGTGCTGATTCTTTTTGACAAATTTCTTAGAAGGATGCTACTGTACCTGCAGGGCATTCTTTTACATGGGTTTATACAATTCATTTTGCAAAACTTTGTCAGGGAAGCAGCTCTTGATTTATGCCAATGTTTCTCTTCTGAAGGTCAATGACAGGCCAAAGCAACCTAAGTCTGCATGGGGTGAACTACCTCAAAGGCCTCAAGAACTCACAGATGGTAACAGACCGCCACGTCCCTTCGACAGTCAAAGACCAGGCTCAGAACAGAGAGCAGCCTGGAATATGCAGTACCCTCCTCCTAACCAAACCCAGTCGAGAGTTCCTCCTGGCCAGTACCCTCCCCTCTCTGGGTCTCCACATGCTGGGCAAGATGTTTCTCCTGGTAATAGACCACCTAATCAAGAAGGACCAGTTACAAGAAGGGACAGTGATCCACCTGATGAATGGACACTAAAACGGCAAAAGCAGCAAGAGGAAATGCATGCGGCTGTGGAGAGAGCAAGGAAGAGAAGGGAGCAAGAGGAGTTAGAGTTGCAAGCTAAAACAAAGGCAGCTGCAATGATGAGATTAAAGGCAATCGAGGAAAAGGCTAAACAGAGTGATGTCAAATCTGAGTCTGCAGAGCCATCTGATAATAAGGAAACAAAAGCTGACTTTGAAAACGAAAAAGAACAAAAAGAAAGAAAGGTGAAAGATGTTGACCATGTTGCGGCTTCTACCGAACAAAAACCTGTGGTTAATCTCAGGCCTGAAGATCATCCCCGACGACGGGCGGACAGTGATTCCAGCGACACTTCAAGATCTAGTGGATCACGACAGTTTTACCATCAACAAAGAAATATCCCACCTCGTTTCCAGCAACAAAGACAACAACAACAGCAACARTATCAACAACAGCAACTTTATCAGGCTAGTCATCAAACATCTGCCTATCCACACAGGGATTTCTATGATGCAGCAGTTCCTAGGCCTCCACAGACTGTTGATTCTGGTATGTGATTGACAATGATAGATTTAAGTCCTACTATTGTTTTGATGCAATTAAATAATGCATACAGTAATATCCACTTTTTACAGAACAAGTTGTTACATCAAATGTTAAGCTTCCAAGTTCATTTTTATTTCTGCTTTTTTGTGAACTAGGGGTTTAGATGCATGAATTTTTTAGCTTGGATTATATCATCTACTGTTATCACATCCTTTAACAGTGTGATTTTCTTTGTTTCCAGGYCCAGTTTCCCCTTCAGGCAAAACAAGTAGACCTGGAGATGCTGTCCCAGTCAAGAGGATTATGAAACGATCTGACAGCAGCAGCACTGCTGGTGATGATGTAGCAAGTGTCAAGTCTTTAGAGAGYGTTGGTGACAAAGAAAGGGGGTCRGGAACTTCTGTCTTTAAAGAAACAGAGGGARCCAAAMCAGATTCGGTTTCAAAGCACAAAGATTCAGAAACAGCAAGGAAAGACGGTAATGAAACCAGAAAACAGGACAATCAAAGAAAGCCAAATGATTATGARAGACCATCAGATCAAAAGCAGTTTGACAAAAGTGGCGACAACAAAGAGGATGTTAGTGTATCTTCTGGTAGTGCTAGAAAACGTGAATACAAACCAAATGACAAGAAAGTAGAAGAACMACACAAGCGAAAGAGAGACGAACATGAGGATCTTGATTGGGATGATAGGAGAGGCAAGTTGGGTCGTGAAAGGCAAACTGATAGCCGTGGAAGGTTAAGGCAAGCAACAACTGGACGTGGTAGAGGACGTGGAATTGGACGTGGTAGACAAGATTACAGAAGTGATGGTGGTGATAATCGACAAAGACATGTACGAGATTCAAGGTCAAGGGATTCTAGAGATATCAGAGAACAGAAAAAAGAGATGTCAGATAAAAATGAAAGACAGAAAGAACCAAAAGGAACGGAAGATCAGAAAAAAGACAATAAAGATAARGTTTTCACAGATGATTCTAAAGATAAAACTGATATAAAGAAAGAGGGAAGATCAGATCGAGAAAACCATGACCGTAAGACATATCACCAAGATCAGGCGGCTCAAAGAGACATGCAAGAAAAGGARAAAGGAGAAAGAAAGATGGAYAAATTTGAAAAGAGAAGTGATAGRTATGATGATAGACCTCAAAGACCAAAGAAGTTTGATTCAAGGAAAGACAGTCGTGAGAGCAGAGATGAAACTAAAAGAGACTCAGTGAATGAGAAAGATGAACCCAAGCATGAAAACTATAAAACAAACAGAGATGAGCCTCGGAAAGAAAGAGACAATAGAGAACCTGCAAGAAGAGGAAGGTTTGCATCAAGGGACATCAGAGAAGAGGAGCGCTTTAATAATCAACGAACCAATCGTGATGGTGATAGATAYCAAGATCATAACAAGCAAAACCAGGAGGGAAATAAAGAGAGAGAACTTGAAAGGTATAAAGACAAACCTCGAGAAGAACGTGATAAAAATATTAAAGATTATGATCGGTACAGAGACAAGGATTCCTTTAGAAGTAAAAGAGATTATACTGCTCGCCGTGATAGRGGTGGTCATCGTACCCARTTCTCCACAAGGGGTAGAGGGAGCCTTGGGCGTGGACTACGMAGCAGAGGAAGTGGACGGCTTGTWGGGAGTGGTCGAATTGTRGCAAGTAATTATAATCGCCCAACCAAGAAAGAGGAATTTTCTGATAATGATGATACAGATGACAGTGGTAGTGAATCTAGTAGCTACACCACAGCCACCTCAGCATCGGAAGAAAGACCTGAGGAGAAGGAAGAAAAGCCAAAAGAACAGCCAAGAAGCACAAGTCAGTCAAGTAGCTCAACACGGGGACTTAAATCGC